ACAGCAGAATGAAACAATGTCCGATCCTGGGCCAACCTCACTACCGCTGCCACACTTGACGCCATCAATGATGCCACCTGGCTGATCCATCTCGTTGGGGATCTTCCTCTTCTTCTCTGACCCTCCATCTTACCCAGCATGTCCACCAATCACTCGGCTTGAGACAGATAAGACTTTCTGCTCCTGCAAAGATTTTAAAAGCCTCGGAAGCCCTTTACAGGGTTGCTATGAGTTAGACCCGACTCGACAACACTTAACAACAACAAATGCAGTCCAGTGCTTACCATACAGTGCCACACCAGGACTCCATTTTCAGCTTAGATAAGTACATATGTTGAAGTATCACCAGAGGAAATAACTTACTTAATCCTTAGGATCTGAAATCATCAGAGCTGATCTTTTAAAACATAGGGAAATATATTGCTTCTCAGCTTTGTTTTCTAAAATTGTAATTTGGGAAACAATGGCAGATCGTAAAGGAATTCTTTTAAGACTTGAACAAGTTATCTTTTAGGTGATTTAGAGATTGACTTTGGTCTGATCCATTTTTACCCAGCAGTGCTTGGCAGGCTCAGAGATGCTAAGAAGTCATTTAATACCTTGAGTAAATTTCCACTGTGTTCCATTATACTGCCGTCTCCTCATGTTCAATCATATTTTAATGAAAAATATGTGAGCTGTTCAAACAATGGAGTGGCCAATACAAAGTTCACAATAGTGCAGAAAATGATTTAGCTGAGTTTCTGTCATTGTTCATGTTTTGGATTTGCCAGTGATAGAGGTAATGGAAATATTAAACCAAATCCACTCTCATTGAACCAATTCTGACTCAGAGCTACACTATATAAGGTTTCCAAGACTGTAAATCTTTACTGAAGCAGACAGCTTTAGCTTTTCTCCCCCAGAGTTGCTGGTGGGTTTGAACTACCAACCTTGCAGTCAGCAGCCCAATTCCTAACTTGTAGCGTCACCAAGGATCTTTTCACGGAAATGCTAGAGGAGTCTAATTAAAAATATGGAGTCCTGGTGTGGCGCTATGGGTTAATGCACCAGACTGTAAAACTGTTTGAACTGCAAAGTCGGTGGTTCAAGCTCATCAGCTGCTCCTTGGAAACCCTATACAGGGTCGCTGTGGGTCAGACCCAACTCAACAGCACTTAACAACAACAACAAATGTCCCAAGTGCTACATTAGTCCTCTCACTCATTTAACAAAGGCCTATCTACTATGTGCAAGGTAGAGGGATTTAAGAATCACTTAAAAGAAATGATGGAGAAATCCTGCCACCCACCTCTTAAGAAGTCTACTGCTAACTGGTTTTGAATCTTAGCTAACCTCTGGGAAGATGTGCTGCTACAGACTCTCATAAGCAACTCTAGCAACTCATAGTGGCCATTACAATTTCCTGAGTCTTTTCATGTACACAAATGTATGGTACCTCCATCCTTTCTTCTAGCCAACTTACATGGCTCAAGGGATTCTGAGAATCAACTTGCTTGCAGTGCGGCTTAGGTAAAATTTTCACCTTCCATGTGGGAGCCCTGGGTTCGATTCCCAGCCAGTGTACCTCCTACACAGATACCACCACATCAGGAGTCTGTGAGTGGAGGCTTACATGTTGTTTTGATGCTAAACAGGCTTCAATGGAGCTTTCAGACTAAGATGGGCAAGGAAGAAAGACCTGTCAATCAACTCTGAAACTCACCCAGTGAAAACGCAAGGCTAGCAGTGGTCAGATCCGCAGCTGATCAGTACTAGGGTTCTTTGGGAATGGGCTTGCCGTGAATCAGAAGCCATTTATTTGATTATGGTACTTTTAGAGCTACTAGGCTTTTTCCATCCTTTATTCCATCCTAGTGGCGCTGTCGAGTAAGCACTTGAACCGCAAGGTTGGTGTGACCTGCAAGGTCAGCAGTTCAAACTCACCAGCTGCTCCTTGGAAGCCCTATACAGAGTCGCTTTGAGTTAGAACCAACTTGACGGCACTTAACAACAATTCCGTCCTGGTGTGGTGCTGTCGGATAAGTACTGGACCGCTGACTGTGAGGTCAGCAGGTCAAACCCACCGGCCGCTCCTAGGAAACCTATGTATGGTCGCTATGAGTCGGAACCGACTCGACGGTACTTCACAACCTTCTCTAAGCATCGCTAGTGGATGACTGTGTCCTGGATCTTCCCAGAACTCTGTGCTCAAACCAGTAAGGCTTTCCAGGAAGTGCTGAGGGAAGGGCGTTATTCAGTTATACGGCTGGTGGGTTCTGTGATTTTAATGTCCACTGCCTGGTATGGCGCTGTGGGTTAATACGCAGGACTGCAAAGTCAGTTTGAACTGCAAGGTCGGTGGTTCAAGCTCACCAGTCGCTCCTTGGAAACCCTATGCAGATTCGCTATGGGTCAGAACTGACTCGAAAGCATATAACAACAACATATGTGTCAGAATAGAACTACATTCCATAGCATCTTCATTGGCCAATTTTTGGAAGTGAATTGCCAGGACTTTCTTCCAGGGTGTCTTTGGACAAATTCAAATTGCCAACCTTTCAGCAAACACCACCCAGAGATTCCCTAAATAAGTTCAGCCCCTATTTTGTGGAAAAGCCGGCAGAAGGAGTTTGCTCTGACATTTTATGTGCTGGATCACAAAGGCCGAAAAAAATGCCTCTGAACATTTATTCCGATACCCAGAACCACAGTGGTTGTCCCCTGGGCCTGTCAGCACCTTCTGAGAACCAAGCAAGAGAGTTGCCAGTGCTCTGGGCCTGTCAGCACCCTCTGAGAACCAAGCAAGAGAGTTGCCAGGAGGTTTCTGGCTCACGGTGGTCCCCACCTCAGCCAGTCAGCAGATACTCAGCGTGGCTGACCAAAATGAGATACAAGAAACACACTGCCAGAGTGACCAGTTTTCCCCGAGTTAACGTTTATAACATATTTTTACTTCTAGGCCTGTGGTCAGGGATCATCATCTGTACAGTCGCTCAAGCTGCATGTTTCCTCGGCTTCATTGCTCGGCTCAATTGGGAGAAAGCCTGTCAGCAGGTAACTATGCTCATGACTACTGCAGTTGAGGTGCCTCTTCTAAAATATCAATAGAATAATATTTGGCTAGCTCTTTTTTGGTTAGGACAGCATTATTCTCTTTTATCATTCATGCTTTCTTCATTTCTTTGCTTTAACTGGTTTTAATTCTAATGTAAATGGTCCAGTGGCCCCAGCTTTATTCAATACCCCTTGTTTATTCATTGAATAGAAAAGTACAGGGTTCTTTTCTCCTTTGTATTCCCTGTTTGGCTACCTGCTGAAAAGCTAATTTCAGGATAAGAATTGAAATTTGGGAAAAAGGTGGGATGCCATGAACTCCATCCTAACTTTGTTTGTTACGATCTCAGATACTCTGTTAAGAGACTTGTGTGCATCCTTCTCGTTAGCTATTTTAGGTCAACATGGAGTGTGAAAATAGGTGGTGCCGTAGGGTAAAGTGCTCGACTATAAGGTCAGTGGTTCAAACTCATCAGATGCTCCTTGGAAACCCTATACAGGGTTGCTATGAGTCAGCGCATACTCGATAGCACTTCCCAACAACAATGCAAAGGAGATGAAGTAAAGAGAAGGGAAGTCCTAAAGGATCGTCTGTCTTCTCCCTCACCTTGTACTTTTCCTGTCTAATCCGCTTCCCACCCACTGCTCCCATCTTTCAATCTTTCTGGAAAATTATGCAAAACCTATGAACTACAGAAGCTTTAACTTTACCTGAAGATTAGGAAAATGACTTGACTTGTCCTAACCTGGGAGAGCAAAATGTTTTTATTAACCATTGTAAAGCCTCATGGACTGACTAAGTTTTACTTTCTAGGCTCAAGTGCATGCCAATTTGAAATTAAAAATGGCCCCCGATGGGAATTCCGCTGTCTCTCAGGACCTCCTTCATCCAGGTGTGGTACGAGCTGCCTCAGGTCTTTGAACAGACCTGCCCAGGTGGTATTGGTGGTGCCATTTGTGGGACACAACTAGTTAGTCTGCTGTGAACTCCCTCTTACGTAGAGCAATAATGCTTCAGAAACATGAAGTCAACACAAGCCACACACCATCTCGTGGCCTTGTGCGTGTCAGACTAGAACTGTGCTCTATAGGTTTTCTTTGGCTGATTTTTTGTAAAGTATATCACCAGGACTTTCTTCCAAGCCACCACTGCCAAGCCTCTTCCTGTTCTGACTGTTGCTTCTAATGAACATCATGCAAACATGGCCTTCCCGCTCCTTGCCAATTTAGTCATTCCCCACATTCTAAGTTCCTTAGGGCTAGGTCTCCTAGACATGCACTGACACCAATTTCCGCTCCTTTATCCTTAATCACCTGTGATTTTGTTTTGCTGTTGTTGTTAATTGAGTCAGTTCTGTCTCGTGGCAACGTCACGTGCAACAGAAGAAACTCTTGCCTGGCTTTGCACCATTTTCACAGAAGACACTATTGTTGTGGCCACTGTGCCTTCCAACCAAGGGGGCTCATTTTCAAGCACTGTATTGAACAGTATTCTGTTGTGATTCATAGGGTTCTCCATGGCTGAGTTTCAGGAGTAGACTGATGGGGCTTCTCTTTCTGAATTTAATTTGATCGAGTGAGTCAATCACAGTCACTGACCAGGTCTCCTGTTTTTCCCAGTTCTCATTTGTGGGATCTAGTCTCTTTGTGTTTCTGATAACCTTTGATTGCATTCCAGACATCATATTTGAAAAATGTCTGTAGAAGTCATTTGAGGTCTAAAATAGTATCTGGTTTCAAAGAGGATTTGCTTTTGCTTTTGTCAGACATCTAGGGTTACTCACAGTCTAATGCAATTTCAGACATTAAGGTTTCTGAACCAACGGCCAGCTGCAGATAGTGAGAGGGTTAGTCTACTTATGATCACCTTCTTAAATCTTAGATTTATCAAAGTACAGAGGGGCTTACCGTGACCACACCCTTGGTACCTACTGGACTCTCCTGCTACTATACTATTCTGTCTCTTAGCCACGTGTTTATGATGGAAACCTCTTGGCACAAAATCAGCACCAAGGGCTCACCCCTCTGGATTTCTGGCTTTCCCTAGGTCTTACTCTGATGACTTGTCATTAAACTATTAACTCTCTGATGTCTTCAAGAAGATAGATTTACTTAGTTCTATCCAACTTTTATAATTATCTGTGGAGGATGGATTTGTCTAAGTTTTCTACCATCAGTGGAAATTTCCCTGTGTTAGTGTGGATTCTGTAAAAGAGCAAAACCAATGAAACGTATATAGATTTACTTCGAGCAAATGGCTCACACAGATGGCAAGTCCTAAGTTGATGAATCTGTTATGAAATGCAGACCTCTGCCGATTCACAGAATTGCAGGGGCTGGTGAATCTGAAATCTGTAGGTCAGGTAGCAGGCTGGAGACTTCTGCAGGCTTAAGTCCCAAGAACTGGAGACTAGGCAATGAGAAGAGTACAGAGTCAAGAGAGAGAGCTTTTGTCAGAACACCCGTTTGTACACTCCCAAGGAAACTCCACCTTCAACTGATTGGCTGATCACATCAGATCACCTCATGGAAGGTCTCTGGTAACGTAATGGTTATGAATCAGGCTGCGAACTGCAAGGTCAGCAGTTCGAAACTACCAGCCACTCTGCGGGAGAAAGATGAGGCTTTCTGCTCTTGTAAAGATTTATAGCCTTGGAAACCCTGTTCAGGATCACTATGGGTCGGAACTAATTCGATGGCACTCAACAACAACAATGGAAACATAGCTAGTCCAGTGTCTGCCAAACGACTGAGAAGCAAAGACAGCCAAGTGACATACAACATTGTATGGCACTGTAGGATAAGCACTTGACCATAAGGTCAGTTTGAATCGCAGAGTCAGCAGTTCAAACTCACCAGCTGCTCCTCGGAAACCCTATACAGCATTGTTATGAGTCAGAACTGACATAATGACACTTAACAACAACATCACAATTTACCCATGTCAATTTGGCATCTATACACATCTCCTTAATTCGTACATACTCTCCAAATAAGGACAATTGTAAAATCATACTCACAACTAACATGATACAACATGCTTCCAATGAGAACACACTAACCTTTGTTACATCTTGTATTTTATAATAAGCACTGGCACAAGGTAGGCAGCAAAACAAAGATGCATGCCACACACAGACACCCACATTAGAGTTTAAAAAATATATATTGCTATGAGAGTTCTGGAGTCCTGGTGTGGCGCTGAAGGATAAACACTGGACTGCTAACCATAAGGTCGGTGGTTCAAACCCACTGCTCCTTGGAAACCCTATACAGGGTTGCTATGAGTCGGAACCTACTTGACAACAACTTAACAACAGCAACTAAGATTCTAGTTCATATATGGTGGTGGTGGTGTGCCGTCGAGTTGGTTCCAACTCACAGCGAGCCTGTATAGGGTTTCTGAGGCTATAAATCTTTATGGGAGCATAAAACCTCATCTTTCTCCCTTGGAGCTCCTGGTAGACTTGAACTGCTGACCTTGTGGTTCACAGCCCAATACATAATCTACTACACAACCAGGGTTTATTCCAAATGCAGTGTGTTTTAATGTATTTCTGCAATCAGTGGTTGGCTACAGACAAATTCTTTTTGTAATACACTTGTCTTAGTCTCATTAGGGTGCCTTCAAATGAAAGGTCCATTCAGTGACTTCCTAGGGGATCTGCTGAACCAGTTGAATTCAAGAAGGGAGGTCAGCTCAGAACATTATAGTGACTGTGTTCTGGGACCCCAGAGGGGTAATCTTGATAGATTCTCTTGAAGGACACAGTATGATCTGGAGGCTTCTTATGAAGAAGTTTTAAGAAAATGGAAAACTGCATTGGTGAGAAAAAGGCCAGGGAAGTTGTGCATAGGAATTCTTTTCCATCACAACAATGTACCTGTTCATTCTTTGAAGGTAGCAAGGGGTTCATCCTATGAGAATTTTGTTGGGAAACCTTATCTGCATTCACCCTACAACCCTGATCTTGCCCCTTCAGAATTCTTTTGGTTCTCTAAACTTAAAAAAAACCATAGTTTGAGTCCCTCAAGGATGCTAAAACTGCCATTTTGACATGGTGTATAATGTAGTGGTTACGAATCGGGCTGCTAACCTCAGTGTCAGCAGTTCGAAACTACCAGCTGTTCGTAGGAGAACGAGGAGGCTTTCTGCTCCTGTAAAGATTTACAGCCTCGGAAACCCTGTACAGGGTTGCTATGAGTCAGAACTGACTCCACAGCACATAACAACAACAACAATATAGAAGAGCAGAGAATTCTTCAGGGAAAGGTTAGAGATAAGGAAACACCACCTTCGGAACTATATAGTCCTAGATGGAAGATATGTTGAAAAACAATAACTTCACATTTTTATATGTTTAATAAAGGTCTGTATGATTTTGTAGCAATACTTTTTGACTTATCCTCATGAATACACACGTGTATAACAAAAGAGAAAATATTCATAACAACTAGAGTTCTCATTTCTGCAAGTGATCACATGATGCTAGGTGACATTTATAACTATCTTCTTCCACTGCCCAATCCATATATTTCCTTTGTGTTGGCAGCGACTGAGCCAAAGGTCTCTGACTTGAGGGATAATTTAACCGAAGGATTGCAACTGAACAGCTGTGGTCCAGAAACTCGGGCTGCACCCAAGTCTGGCTGCCCCTTGAGTTTTTGCAAAGCTGACCCTAGGAACAAGGAACTTGCAAAGTCTTTCCTTGTACACAGCCATGACCTTTAGCTCAGTCTGCACAAACATTTAGCTGTATCTAATTTATGTTCCAGCTAGCTACCACAAGTTACATTTTTCTGGTAGAGTTCCACTTACTGCATGCACAGACAACACCAGGTGTTGTTTGTATTCTTTCCCCTGCCTCAAGCACCTCCCCTTGAGATGCGTATAAAATAAATTTGTTGCAGCAGTTCTGGGCTAGCAGTATCTCCATCAGAATGCTGCATCCCACCTGCTACCAACTTTCACTTAACTTGTATGTGTCTTCCTTTTCCTTCTAATCTCCTGTCGCCCCTATTTGGGATTAATCTCTCCTCACCGGATGTGGAGAAAAGCCAGGCCCAGCACCTTTGCCCTCAGCAGCAACATTGCTGGTTGTGGTTCCTTCCCTGGTGGGTGACCAAACCTTCATTCCTTAAGGAGCTGGGCCATTAGAAGTTCTGTCTGAACTGGGTTTCTGTAATTTTTCATCGACTTTAATCACAGGGATTAAAATTTTAAGGGATCTATTGTATTCCAGACACATTCTTCTTTACCTCCAGTATGTAATAATAATCCAGTTTCCCCTTGACAATCAATATGGGAACCTCCCTTTTTATACATTGAGTCAGAGGCATGAGCTGTTCAAAGTGACTGCAGGGCATTCTTAAATTACAGTACAATAGACTCCGTAATGTGTCTCCTGTTGGGAGCATTCCTCCCTTTGTAACTAAGACTACTAGACCAGCAGGGAGCATAGGGTCACAGGGAGAGGAAGCAAAACATTTGTGAATGGATTATTAGGGGTAATAGTGAATGGTGCCATATCCACTCCTTGATTCCTGGATCCACGAACCCATGAATCATGGCAATGGAAGAAACAACACTGATTTAAAGCATATACACTGTATTAAAGAACATTGTCCCAGCCTTGCAGAATATTGTCTCCTAGCTGGCACTGTAAGTGAGTCTTTTTTAAAGTTGTTCCAATATCTTATCTAGCCAGTTGCTTCAGGATGGTTGGGGATATGGTAAAACCAATGAATTCCATGATCTGGGACCCATTGCCACACCTCATTTGCTATGAAGTAAATTCCTTGATCTGAGGCAATGGGATACCATGATAGTGGATAAGGCATGCTGGGATCAGTGGTTGGCTGCAGACAAATTCTGTCCACAGATGGTAGAAGC